TTGAAATTTCAACGCCAGCAATAACTTAATAAACTTGCATTTCCTTCTTTAAAAATTTTTTTTTAAATTTTACAGCTGATTTTTTCCGTTGTTTAGTGAAACAAATCCACGATTATATTCGTTATTTGATTTCAGTTATACGACAACAAAACAAAAAATCAAAAAAATTGAAAGAAAGGAAAAGGAGAAAAATGAGAAGGAAAATTTTTATGATTGTTTTTGAAAACTCTAGGATCTGTCGTGTTTGTCCTCTTGTAAGCGCAAAAAACAATCAAAAGGAATAGGGCCAATTTTTGAGGGCTGCATTTTCGAAAAATTAGGGGGAGGCTGCAAGGGGGTGTTTTGGAGCGTCGGGCGAAAGTGGGGGTTGTAGGCGGAGTAAGGAAACCGTTGGTGGGGGTAAGAAAAGAATAAGGGAAACATCTGGGGATCGTGAGAAGGTTGTTTTGTCGCGGGGGTGGCCCGGTGGAGGGGCGGCGGGTAGTCGGTGTTGGAAGGGGGGGGGGGGGTGGGAATGGTGTGGTGGGGAGGGAAAAACACAGAAGGACTGCTAAGGGAGGGAGCAGGCGCACTTCTCTCCCTGCTTCCTTCCGTTTTTTGGAGCTGTGAGTTTGAGCGAGGTAATCTCGCACAGAACACGGCCTCCCGGGCCAGCCACCCCCTCGTAACACACCACGCAACTGGACTCTTTTACGTCAAGACAGACCACTCGACGATTCCATCCCGACTCTGCCTGTTCAAAGGAGGTGAGTCTTTTTCACAAAAGTTCTTCAAATCGTGCTTCGACTTTTTTTTTTCGAAACCGGTTTCCAACTTCGACTCGTCGGTTGACCCTTCGCGTGTGACGTGCTTCTGCCTTCGTCCTTAGGGCCTGGATACCGGTGTCGTTCGCTCCCTTTCGACTGCGTACTCTGCCCTTCCTGGACATCGACGAGTGCATCTGAACACCTGGATGTGACTGGCACCCTTTATAAACTCAGTGTCTCCTCTCGAACGGGTCTCAGATGAATATACAACTCGGCATTGACAGCGTCTTCGGTCGTCATGGTTTTTTTCGCGTCGTTTTTTTTAATTACATACAAGTGAGGTATTGTCCCCTCTGGAGTCCGGGACGGAATGCTCCAGAATTCCGTGGTTCCGTGCCAGTTCCCGCCTTCGCAAGTCCAAAAGCTGCACTCTCATGCCTTTCCTACTTACTAACTTGAAACAGGACGAAATAGCGCGCCTCACGGCAGGAGGGACAACTCGCCGGTCTTAGTTGGCCTCCTTCGTACTAGAGTGTTCTGCACAGTCATGTAAATATAAATTGACACAATTTTAAATTCACTCAAGAAAAAAAGTTTCACCGAGGAGGTTGATACACAGCCTCGTAATATATTTTTTCCTAGCGCTAAGTACGTTGCTTTTTTTTATAATTTTAACAATTTGATTAACGTTGACATAATAACAATAAAACGCTTGGCGTGTTTTTTAATGTTTTTTATTTTAATTATGTTTTATTGAGTGTGTATCATGAGAAAACAATTAGTCATGGTTATCCTCAATGAACGCGTTTTTATGAGTTTATAAGTTGAACAAAAATAATTAAAGATCGCACCATCGAATACACGATTGCGGATATGGATAAGCGATTGTCCGCATTTGGTAAAGATTCAATTCAAATTTTCATTTGAATTAAAGTCGAAAACGTTCCATTTGGGCGGGATGCTCATTGAAACGGATTAAATGGAATTTAATGGTGTACTATTCAACCGGGCGACTAGTCGCAAATTGAAAAGGCCGTAGGTAATGATACGAAGCATAATGTAGTTAAACTGAGTTTGCGGTAAGTTGGGAGATAATAGAATAAGTTTGGGTAAGATACTGATGGGGAGAAACTAAGTGGTCACCTAGGAGTAATCGCAGGCAAAGATTGTAGTTAGTGGACGCCGGATTAGCAACTTAAAGGGGGTAGATAATTCCATTGAGTGAGCAAACTGAGGGTGCCGTTTTGTGCGAGAAGGCCGGTTGTCGTTTTGGACCGTAAGCCGAAAGTTTATCCGGTCAAATCGACGGCAGCTTCTTTCTTTGGAACGGACGAAAGGAAGTAATAGTTATCTTTAGGGATGCTCCCTGATATCACTATCTAGTCCTCTTAAACAATTTTATATCAGTCTTCTTTAATTCGTTCCTATTTTCTGTTCCAGAAGGGGCTCACATTGCAAATTCATAGTTCCTAAGACGGCAAGCACGACGACTTTACGCGATATCCCTCAACCATCTAGCATAAGGTAAGTCGGAGAAAGAAAAACGCATGGAAGCCAGTTAACACGATCGAGCGAATTTCAATTGTTTTTCTGTTATTTTTCAATTTGTTATTGTGTGCACCTTGTAATAACATCGGACTGTGTTTTGTAATTAATGACAAATGGATCCGTCTCCTCTCATCTTTTTTTCGCTGTACGAAATATCCTACCGCTGTATTGTGTAGAATCACTTGGAACGGAGGAAAATATATGATCATAAACCTCGCTTTTTTTTTTTTTCTAACCAGTGAATGTTTTGAGTTTAGAAGAGTAGATTCTCGAGGATACGGGATTAATTTATGTACCGAAAGAGAGATTTAGAAAAAAAAACTTTTTCCCGTGAATAGGTAGGGAGGTGTGTGAATCGGAAGGCCTCGTTAGCGGATTTCTCGGCTTAACTATTTACCTCGCCACTCTAGTCCCTTGCCCGTCTTTTATTTACGAATCTTAAGACTAATTGTAAATTTTATGAAAGTTGATTTTATCACGCGGTTGTTACATTTTCACGAAAAAAGCGAGACCCGCTCGTTTCGGCTTTCCCCCTTTCTTTATTAATATGACCACTTTTGTCTCAAAAACTTATAATCAAGAGAGGGACCCGGGGAGTAAATCGCCGCTAATTGGCCTCCAACTCCGTCCTCACTCGATCGGTTCCTGCCAAGGTCTCATTTCATTTATACACGCCCTCCACTCTCGTGATTCTCGAGTGTCTAACTTTCCCGCATTTAAAAAAGGCGGAGAGGTCGGCTTTGATATTAATTAAGCCTAGCAATTTGGACGGTTGAGCATTGAAACGCAGTTCGCGATCCGATCGATCTAATCGCAAAAGTGATCAACGCGGAAAACCCCTGGGCTCGGATAAGAACGAGGCAAGAACTGTCGGCACTTCAAAGTCGCCTGGTTACACCTCCCATGGCCATTAAATCGTAAAGAGCAAAGGAAAACACTCATTTATTGTTAAATTCTTTTTCCCTGTACGACCGAAGTCCCACGACGTTTTTAAACGGGACTTTAATCGGACTTTAATCCGATTGTTACTCGGGATTGTCGGAATTTACCTTTGGTAAAAATGACGATAGATTAAGATATGGGGTCGGTTATAAGAGGCGGGCTCGCTAAGAGGGTGTGTTAATGAGTAAGGGATGTGAAGGAATTGTTTTCTATCCTCAGACCCCTCGGAGAGTAAGATCCAACATTCTAATGAATATAACCCACCCCCGACCCGAACCAACCACACTCCTTAAAAACTCTTCAATCATTACCGGCCCGAGAAATATGCACAACCCTCATCCATTTCTCACCAATAATCTCAACCCTCGTTACGCACTTCACTTACCCGTCTTCCTTTTCATTGTTTTATTTTGATTTTGAAATTATTATTTTCTTTTTGTGTTGTATTTGTTCTCCTAGTTTTTTAGTTTTTCCTTGTATATATTTTTGTTAAATTATATTTATTTATTTTTTGGTTGTTTTTATTTATTTGCTTTTTAACCCTGTTTGTTTTCCCTTTCCCAATTCCTTGTTTTGAATTTTTCAATCAAATATACAAACAGAGAATCGCTGGAGCGCATGCTTTACTAACGCCGTAAGTATTATGTCAAAACCGGGCTTCTTTAATCAAAAATACATTAGCCTACATTAACAAAAAAAAATGTCATATAAACACACACACAAACACACACAGATACAAGAGTTGTTATTTCAACTAAAATTAATATTTGGCTTTTTTATGCTTGTTTACATTTTACCAATGGCTTGTATAAATGCATATCAAACAATTTGTGTGTGTGGTTGAGTGTGAATTTGTAAAAAAAAATATTTTTCACTGAGGTTTTAAATCTTTAATTTTGTACGAATTAAAATTTATTGTTCAAATATTTATACAGTGACTCTCAATCAAAGACTGAAATAAGGTCTCGTGTCCACTGGGAGCAGAAAACTGCGATCTGCCAAAAAAAACCTTTCATGGGAATAATCTACACTTGAATTGTTACGTGCGTTCTTGAGTCCATTGCCGCAGTATTCGTTCGAATTAAGTGCATGTAGTATGGACGAGTGTATCGCAGACGGGCTATCGCAGAGTTTAGACGATTTTTCTGAATTGAATTGATTACTTTAGAATCGCCTTTGTTGCTTCGCTGTGTACACCTAAGACAGACAAGTCGGAAAATATATAGTATTTAGTAGTAAATATATAGTATTTATATAAGAAAAAAAAGGTGTTTTGTGAATTTGCTCACTTATAGAGTATAGAGTGATCTACAAAATAATAAGCATCACCCCATTCGTTATTTCCGAATGAACCGGAACACATTCAGTTACATTAAACAAATAGCTTCTATGTTGGAAAAACAACAATTTTCGAGAGACGTTTTTTATTCAAAAACGGCTGGCTGTATGATAAGTTAAAAACAAAATTGCTCAATCATTGAAGTTTTGAAAATGGATAAACTAACATTTATAAAGAAATTACTTAGTGCGTATATCCAGCTTCCTTTCTTTGAAGATCTCATGAATATATGCAGTAAGCTCATAAGAAACAGATAATCTCCGTTTTGATTATAAAATATTTTGGAAATTCTTTACATTAAAAAAATAATATTTAAATGTACTAAATAGGTAATAAAAACATTTCAAAATTATTTTTCGAACAATGTTTCATTATAAGCAATTATTATTGTAATAATAAAAGTAAAGACTAGTAAACATCATATGAATGAGAAAGTTGTGGGTTTGGGCAAATGACAGGGGTAGAGGGCAGTAGTACTTGTTCGCACAAGTTCCCAGAAAAAATCCAAACTGATTTGGATCCGTTCGGTCTCGCTACTTTGGCGTATGGCGAGGCCTTACGCAATATTTCCGACGAATAAGTCGGATCCAATGGACGCGGGTTGACTCAGCGACACGTGTTTGGATCGTTCGTCGTTTTCATGGCCATTCGGACGAAGTCGAATCGGGGACCTTTTCGCAGTTTTCTGCTCCCAGTGGACGCGAGGTCTAACTTTACAAAGTTTCAGTAAGTTGGTCATTTTTTTAAAGAGGTCAGTCAAGAATTTATCATGCATATCTGCATACGTTTTGTATACAGTGTATCCCGTGAACAGACACCAATAAATCCTACATGCTATATTGGATTAAAAAGTCCTATAGTCCGAAGTCTGATTCTTCTGTATTCCACTTCTCAATTTGAACTTTTCAATTTTGTTCAACCTTTTACAACTTTATTACATAAAGTCCCGCGTATCTCATAAAATGTCAGTCCTTCGGTACATTTGATTACATCAATGGAAAGAGCATAGAAAACTATGAGATTCATTTGTTGTTGTTTTTTTTATAAAAAAGACTAGAATAAATTGATAAAAAAAAGAAACAAATAAACTTCGAAAAATTGAATATTAAAAATGTCCACCTTATTCAAAAATGCAACCATAGCATCATTTCCTGAAAAATTGTATTGCTCTTTTTGGTTTTTCTTATGTGTAATTTTGTACCAAAGAACCTTTTTTATTTTGAGGGGGGTTATTTTGTATTATTTTCCTTAACTTTAATAGAATTGCAATCATAAAATCTGTCAGGAAACGATGTGTGGCTTGTAATCTTCAAGAAAGCGGTCATTTTCAACTTTTAATTGAAATTTTGCAAGCTTGTCTTTTTTTCTTATGTTTGGTTTTGTACCAGTGTCTTCTTTGTTTACTTTTCATTATTTTCACTAATTTCTAATAGGTTTCATGATCTTAATGACAAATTTTTTTTAAGCCATTTGTCACTGCTAAAGTCAAATTGTTTTTTCTGTAACCGCCATATCTTTTAGTATTTACAGAACCAAGAAAATGTTACTTAAATTTTAAAAGTAACTGCTTAATTATTTTTTATCAGCTTATTCTTAATTATATAATTACTCAATTAATTATACACCATTTTTTCGAAGTGAAAAATTTGTGTCACAGGCGGGATTCGAACTCACGACTTTCGGCTAAATACGCCGCTGCTCTACCACTTGAGCTATCGTGACTTGGATCGCCCATGCCACGAACTTCTCATTTCGACTCCCCGTTTATTCCAATTGTAAGCAAATCGCAGCTTCATATAGAAACATTTTTTTTATTAACGATTCATTTCGAAAAAATTGTATATAATTAATTAAACTTTAAAGATGAATCTCAGAAACTCGTAAAAGTTTAACTCCCAGGTGATTTTGTATTTTGTTTCCTTAAGTATAAAACAAATAAATCTCGAACTTTTCAATGATCTTTCCATTGGTTTAATCAATTTTAAAATGGGGGTAACATTTTACGAATTACGTTGGACTTTATGGAATAAAGTTGTGAAAGATTCAAGTAACCTGGAATGTGAAATATCTTGAATAGAATCCGAGTTCGGACAATAGAGACTTTTTAGTACAATTTGACGTGTAGGATAACCTCGTGAAGTATTGACGTTCGCGGGTCACCTTGTATATAAAACAAGAAATATACAAGGGAAAAAAGCCAGAATTGAGAGATAGTAATCTTTAATGACGCATTTAATAATATAACAGCAAGCCTTCCTAAACAAACGCTTTGTTTCCTTCTTTAAACGCTAAAGATGTATGTTTAACGATTTAATAATTAATATTGCTATCGTGACTTACTTTCGGCAAGTGACAGTTTATAACCACTCGCCTTAATACGTCCGAACTCTCTTCAACTCAGTCAGTGTTTACTGATAATATTACCAGGACAATTAGAAGGTAATTAAAAATAAACCGAAACAACAAGTGACGCGAGTTGAAATTGTCTTCAGAAGGAGGGAAATTATATTCCCCTCGGTTTATAATATTTAATTGACAACCGTGAAATCATTTATATTACGAATTAATTAATGAAATCGGTCAGATTATTAGTGATGTAGGGGTGAGGTAAGGTGTACTTGAAATTATTAAAAGTCGTTATATCCCCCAATAATGGTCTACAGTAATTCTCACTTTACTTTTTAAAAAAGGTGACCGAAAAGAGCCGATAATTTATTTGTTGTGAATAAGCTAATTATCCATTACACCCAGATTGAAAAAGTACCTTTTTGTCGATTTCAGAAAGCTTTTGATTCAGTCTGTCATGAGTCACATTGGCTCAGGATAAATGAGATAAGAGTAAGGAATAAAATAATAAGATTTATAAAATGCCTCTATGACAAGGCTAATTTTCGAAAAAAAAAATGTATATATTTTTTATACACTTTTATACCAAGGGAGTCTTACAAGGACTTTGTCGGCAACACTGTTTTCTTTATATAATAAAAAAAATTAAATGAACGAAGCCTAATTGGAGTAAGATTAGATGAACTTGACTACATACTTGCGTTGTAGATGAAATTATCTTATTTGCAGGCTCAAGCAAGAAGCCCAGCGTATTTTAAATGCATTGAGTCAGTATAGCATAAAAAATTCGTTAAGTGTCAATGTCAAAAAACGTAATATTTTTCCGCTAATTTTCGAGAAAAAATTTATATATCCAAGGGAGCCTTACAAGGACTTTGTCGACAACACTGTTTTCTTTGTTCTTATCCGATTTTATAAAAAAAAATTAAATGAACAAAGTCTAATTGGAGTAAGATTAGATGACTACATACTTACATTGTAGATGACATTATCTTATTTGCAGGCTCAAGCAAGATGCCCAGCGTATTGTAAATGCATTGAGTCAGCATAGCATGAAAAGTTCGTTAAATGTCAATGTCAAAAAACGTAATAGTTTTCCGCTAATTTTCGCGAAAAAAGGAATATATCAAATGGGGTTTTACAAGGACTTTGTTGCCAACACTGTTTTCTTGGTTCTTATCCGATTTTATAAAAAAAAAATTAAATGAACAAAGCCTAATTGGAGTAAGATTAGATGACTACATACTTACATTGTAGATGACATTATCTTATTTTCAGGCTCAAGCAAGAAGCCCAGCTTATTTTAAATGCATTGAGTCAGCATAGCATGAAAAGTTCGTTAAGTGTCAATGTCAAAAAACGTAATAGTTTTCCGCTAATTTTCGATATGCAATAAGCTTAAAAACATATATTTTGGAGTAAACGATACAGGATATGTATGATTACGTTTATTTAGGGCGCCCATTTAACATGGTAAGTTCGATAAAGAAGCTCATTCCTTAAAAAAAGGTGCTCAAGCGCTTGATAAAGTAAAGGAAATTCTTTTCATGGGAGGGTGAGATTCTGTAGAAGGAAAATTTAAACTCTCAATCCGTCCTGCAGGCACATCATTGTTTTCTTCGGAAATCTGAGCAATCTCACACATTGAGGAGCTATCTAAAGTGGAACTCAAGTTCGTAAAAAACGTGTTTCTCTAACCGGTCCCATTCATTACATCAGGTGCAATAGGACAATCTGTGAGACTAATGGCATTAAAGCGAAGGAAAAAGGTCCTTTCATTGCAAAAAGAGAGATTACTAGCTAGAACTTTAACGCACGGCATTTCAACAACAAAAAATTAAGGGACTCAAAAAATCCCAAAGATTGGTTCTGCCAACTGGATGATGATCTTGTGATTGGTTATGATTTTCCAGCATAAACAATGAATCATATTTTCAAAAAGAACGTGTAAACTTAATTGGGCTATGGAAAAACCATTGTAATAATCTTAAATTCAAAATATAATACCCACTTCTGACAAGTTTGTTGTTATGGGGAAAATAATTACTATATAAACAACAATATATGAAAAAACAACAGAATAATTATGCAAATGGGGTTTTCTAAAAATGATTAAATGAAATTTTTTATAGAAAAAAAAACAGCTATACTATAAATTGTTCTATGCAGCGTATGCTATTTGTACGAGCAGGAAAACCTTATCCATATTTTTCTATAATGTCAAATTTCAAATTTATAAACAATTAAATCACCTTATCTAAAAGTTTGAGTATCTCCAGAACCAGTTGATCGGTTTATATCTTAATTATGTAATTTTCTCAAAGAGGCATTGAAATGAAGGTCCTACATTATTAATGAATAAATTCAAATCATTGCAAAACCCTTATCTAGATATGTCTATTTTTGATGTTATTATTAACATCTTTTTTTGGCGCTTGTATAACACATGCACTCAATAATTAACAAAAGCCATGTTTTTTTATAGTTTCGTTTTATACTGAATGAATGTACAGTTTAACCAGTCATTTTACGGTAGTTCGTTTATTTATTTAGTGGAGTGTTTTGTCAAAGTGGCAAGCATATCCAAAATTTGGTTTATTTCTAATCCACGGAAAAAGGATAACTTGTACATACTTCTTCCTGTGTTTCTTTGTAGTAAGAAGACTCTAATATTAATTTAATATATGACGCTTTTCTTTTCTTTTTCACATGAAGGTTTCGGTGTTTATTTTAATTCTATTTCATTTGTGTAAAATGATTATTGAAAGATTATGCAGGTCTAACCAGAGCCCCTGTAAATTATCACATTGGGAAAAAACATACAGTAAATAAAAATCTATTCTGTTCTAATAGTCATTATAAAGAGCTTTACATGGCAGAAATCCGAACTCAACGAATATATTTACATCCCTCTAAACATACTCCCTGTCAATTAAAAAAAATTAATTAATCGATTATTTTATTTTTGTCCTGTGTGGTGGCTCATCAGACATTCCACTTTTATATGGGTGAAACGGGAGAGACCTCAATAATTTTGCATGGCTTAGTAAAGATGGTACATAATATTATAAAGATATGTCCGTAATTCTCACTTTTTATCCTTCGTTAAAGTCGGCTGTAAAAACCCACAAAGAAAAAACGAATCAATTAATTGATAAATGTCTCGTATGGATATTCAAAAGTTGAAAAGGTTAAATATTTGCGCTTATTTGATAAACAGACGGTTTAATATTTTACCTCCCTTATTTCGAAGTTAAAAATATTATTTTATCATTTAAGTTTTTGTTTTCTGGGCTTTTATGCAATAAAGATGGTGCATTTTACCCACCCTTGCCCCATCGTGGCTTATGAACTTTGCCATCGCTCTTTTGAATTGATCG